TATGGTCGCGGCTGTGGTTTGACTTGCGGATCTTTGGTTTGTTGTCGTGTTTCCGGCAGCCTGCAACGCCATCAACGCCTGCTGTTGCTCCAGACTTTGTTGAAGTTGTTGTTGTTGCTGAAGGTTCTGCTGAGCTTGAACACTTTGGCCTAGGTTCAGTCCGCCTATTTGTGAGGTGGTGGTAGTTGTGGTGCCAGCAAACTGAGGCTGACTTGCGGCAGTTGAAAGGCCTCTCATGATCAAATCAGTTTGCAGCTGTTGCTGCTGCTGCTGCTGATTGGGTTGCTGACCCGGAACTGCCATTCCTTGTGCTGTCATGCCCATCAAGTTGGACATTTGATTCTGATGTTGCTGCTGCTGCTGCTGCAGTTGATTCACTGACTCAATGCTCGACTGAGCAGAAAGTGATCGTTGTTGCTGTAATTTTTGCTGCTGCTGCTGTTGCGTCAGCAAAGGATCAGCATTAATGTTTGACTGCTGAAAAGGTTGTTGCTGCTGGCTGCCAAATTGATTTGCGCCCATCATCAGATTTGTTTGCTGATTTACGCCTTGCTGAAGGTTTTGCTGCTGCTGCTGCTGCAGTTGTTGTTGTTGTTGTTGATGATGCTGCTGCTGCTGCTGCTGTGTCATTTGAGCAACAGCACTTCCTGGAAGCACTTGTTGGGACAGGCCCGAGTTTACAGCATGCAATTGCTGCTGTTGTTGTTGCTGCTGTTGTTGTTGTTGTTGGGCTGCAGTTGAGGCAGCGTTTGAAGCAGAGTTATCAAAGATGCCTAAATTGGAAGTGGGTATTTGTGGTTTAGATTTGGGTTATTTTAAGACACACACACTGGACTATAAGGAAAAAATGTTGGTCAGTAGCGTTTTGAGAGCAGCAATGCACACATAGTCAGGCAGACAGACAAAAAGAAAGAGAGAGAGAGACACACATAAAAAGGGATGCAAAAGTGCTAAACTAAAATCATTCAAAGCATGCAGAGCGGGCAATNGAGAGAAAGAGAGAGAGAGACACACATAAAAAGGGATGCAAAAGTGCTAAACTAAAATCATTCAAAGCATGCAGAGCGGGCAATTAGCAGCAGTGGGTGTTGAGTGTTCATTTTCTAAAACCCCAACCACAAGCAGTGCAAACAATTGCAAACATCAAGAGCAAAATATTATTGTTCTCATGCAAACTTAAAGTGATCAAGAAGATGTAGTGGTGTTGATGATGACACAGGTTTTTCAGTTAAATGGTGGTCGTAAAACTCATGCAAACAGTGATTGAAGATGATAGGAAATAGTAGAAAAATAGAAAAAGAGATAAAACAAAAATGAAATAAATCAAAAATAAAAAAGTTGGTGGAAAAATAGATCAAGTGAAGTTAAAAGCTGCTGTCAAACATACCAACAGCAAAAACTGTTAATGAGATGAGTGCCAAAACGCAACGTAACACAGTGAACACATTAAGGAAAAAACAGCAGCAACAATAGTAAAACTGACATTTAAAAAACCTAAACGTTGCGGCCGTTAGGCGACGTCGTCGTCGTCGTCGTTTTTCAGCAAGAAAAAAACTAAAACTACATTTTTTCAAATTTGCATTTGTCAGTAGAACTGAGTGACAATTGCTGTGCGGCAATTTAAAACACACACAGCCAAATAGTTGCACTTGCACTGGTAGTGTAAAAACTTCTGTTTTTTCTCAAAATAAGGAAACAAAAAAATAAATAACCAAAAGCGTCGATGCTGCGGCTGTACACTGAGCTGAATGGTTGTGGCCAAAAAGTTGCGGCTGGTAATTAGGTGCTGCAGCAGCCACGACCGGCGCCAGACGTTTCCGAGGCGCCCAGTGGTGTCCACTAATTGGACGACAGAAACAGCAGCAGCAGCAGCACTGGAACTGACAAAGCCGATTGAGGCTAGAAAATGGGGGGGAGGGGAGGGAAATAATGGGCACAAATTTAATGGCACTAGTAAATCTATCAGTAAATAATCATTAAACGACCGCAATTAGCGGTCACTATTGCCACTGCAACTGCCGTCAGTTGACAAAAAAAAGTTAAACGACAAATTAGCACTTTAGCAACAAAATAAACAGTTGGCAGTTCCTTCTTTATCAAAACCAAATATGGTAGTAATTTTTGCAAATTGTAAATTTTTAAAAACGGTAAAGTAAAAGATGTGTATAATTGTAAAAGAGCAAAAAAGGTGATTTTTGTAGTTTGGCAGCAAAAATACAATATTTAACAAAAAATTTTTAAAATGCATTTTTTATACAATTAAAAACATATACCGTGATTTAATTTACAAATAAAAATTCCATAGTTACCATTTTTGATGTTTTTTAGTAACAAACAAATTCACCTGAATTCAACTGACAAAAAATGTTTAAAAACATTTTCAACAAAATTAATTAACTCATCTGCAGAATTTGCATGAGGGAAATAACTCAAGTGAAACTTTCTCTGCAAACTGAAGTGAATTGTCAAAAGAACAAATATATTTCCGAGAAATACTAAGAAGAAGAAGAATAAGAAGAAGAGAAAAAAATGAGTTTGCAAATGCAAACGTCTAATTGGCGTGCCTATTCTGTGTGAAAAGTAAGTGCCTCGCTCTGGTTAAGAAAAAAAAGACAACATGGGCTCTGAATTAAGAGACGCGCAGTTATAGTCAGTTGAGCCAAAAGCCGAATGAGTTACCTTTCCTAGCTGAGTGGGCAAATGCACACAAAAGCAGTCAGCCTAATTCACTAACTCATCCAAATGATGATAAAGAACAGATGAGAATAAGAAGAAATAAGAGAAAATTCCAGTCACCTGAAATTGGGGTTTTTTGAGAGGAAAAAAATTGCCGAAAAACTGGTTAAGCGAAAACATGCAAAACACATTGAAAAGGACCTTTTAAGAATTTGTTTTGGATTTTTTCTAAACGAGCGCTTCACTGCTCGCACTTTGCAGCTGTTGCTGCCTTCTTTTGTGTAGTTCTTTTTACCTG